CTTTCTTTGCTGATCCTCTAGGGCCCACATGAAGCCCAACACTAACCGTCTAATCCACGAAAGAAGTTAAAGCCAGGCAGGCAGGCCCACATCAAATCATCCTTCCTTCCTCCAAATCCAAACAATATATAGAGGTTCTCTTTGAGAACTCATCCAATTCAATTTTTCTTAGCTTATGGGCATAATAAGGAAGGATTGTTTGGTCTCAACCTGTATCTTCCTTGTTATGGAAACACGTCTTCCTATTCCATCTTTTCTCGAATCTCCTTTAACGGAAGAAATAGAGCTCGAGAAGAAATACCAAAACCTAGTTCACTCGCTGAGTCTCTAGCACCGTCTTTGAACACAACGCCAGTTCACCTCGGTACTTCTAAATCTCCCAACCTTTAGATCTGCAAGATCTATGGGGGGATCTCCATGCTTCTAGTGAATTCAGAAGTTTTTCTGCAAGTGTATGCGAAAATGTTCTCAAAGCTCCGGAGGGAGCGAACAACGAGTTAACTGGAGCAAGTGAGTTGACAGCAAGGGAAGTACAATCAAGACAATCAACTAGTAGGAATGGTTTTTATCAGAGTCAGACCACGCCTTATGACGGGAGAAAGGACAGATCACCTGTCGATCTGTGATCAACGAATCTAGTGGAATGGGATAGAGATTGATAAGCAAAAAAGTTATATCTCATATCTATTAATTAATCTACGCTCATTGATGAGACGACGCCAAAAGGGAGTACTGGAAGCTAAGCGAACCAAGGTATGGAGCTAAACAACAGGCGTAGGCCAAACCAAAGCGTTACGGTCAAGCAGTAGTGTCACGACCCGAAATGTCGTGACTGTGTTGATCGTCTGAAGAACGCTGCCATCTGGTCGTCTTGCCACAAGAGGGGTAAAAGGGGGCGACATTAGCCATAAGGCGTTGTCTGTCTGTGCATCGTTCTGGCCGAGTCAGGATGTGGCTATGACGGGGATCGTTGCAAGTGAAGGCACAACTGGTCGGAGGCTATTGACGTCTCCCTGATGAGCCCAAGGCAGGGCGAAACCAGTTGGCATGCATATGCGGAGAGGCTGGTCTTGAGGAATGAGTGCACCTCAAGACGCCGCACGGGCTTCGGAAGTCTATGTCCGTGACAGTAGTCCCCGGCATCCATACTGGATCTTCGGGTAATCAGAATCCAAGTAATAACTCCCATCCGGTTTGGCGTGCAGTATGGAGAACCCCTGTTGCTAGAAGAGTACAGGCTTTCCTCTGGCTTTTCAAAGGGATCAATAGGTGGAAACGAGGAAATATGACCCATTTTTTAAGAATTGGAGAAAACTAGAGATCTCCATGCTGTCACGAACGACCTGTTTGTCCCAATCTTCCACTCCTGCTGGCCAAGGGTCTGCTAAAACTCCAGTAAATTCTATAGTTGAAAGAACACGAAGTGAATCCACAAGCAATTCTTTAGTTACAGGAAATTAAAGACTAGTGAATTCCTTTCAACACGAAGGTTAGGCATTTGAATTAGCAATTAAGGGAGGTATTTACCCTCCAGAAGGCGCACTTACTAGATAGAATTCCTCAGCAATCAAAAAAATTTATAGGAGTTGGACCATTTCTATCTTCTTGCAGGTATAGGGTAAGTGCGCCTAGGTTAGTTATAAAATCATGAGGTTCGTTTAATCTTAAAATGAAAACCAATGAAAATTTCGACGAATCAGAATCGTTGATTTTCATTTTTAAGATTAAACGAATCTCGTGCTTTGGGTTAGTGAATTGGGGACTGGGATTCACCCATTAGGGGTTGGGGTATAGTATCATGTCCCAAACTCCGATTAATTCTTTGTCTAAATAGCAAAACTCAATGGGGCGTACGGTAGGCTAGTGTACGCCCGGACGTACGCTAGCCTTTCCCATATATATATATATATATATATATATATATATATATATATATATATATATATATATATGGTAACGACTGGTGTACGTCAGGCGTATACTATACGTCAGGTGATCTAGCCGTTAGATGTGGTTAGATGAGCTCCGGCCGATCTCAACGGTCAATTTTTGTTTTTCATTAAATCTAACTTCGGGTTAGGGTTTAGAAAATCGGTGCCTGGGGTTTATCCATTAGAGGTTAGGGTATAGTATCAAACCCCAAACTCGATTTAATTCATGGTCTAGATAGAGATATCTCACTAGTAGTACCCGACGTATAGTATACGCCTGACGCACACCAGTCTGACCCATATATATATATATATATATTAGGTGGCTACTTCGGTGCACTCACTTTTTTGGGTGCATTCGGTGCACCCACCTCTAAAAGTGGTCATAATACATCAAATTTAGAAATTTAATTGGTAGCATTAGTCTCATATGATGATATAACACAGAATCACAACAAATCAACCCATTACCCTAACCTATTAACATTCAATTTTGAATCTAAACCCAAAATTCCAAATTGTAAACCCTAACCCTAACTCTAAATTCCTAAACCCTGAATCATTCAAATTAAAGTGAATCTTGAATGATTTTTGTACAAATTCATGTGGTTCTTGTTCATCATACCACAAGGGATGATTGACATCGTTTTCACATGAACCGCCTGCTCAGAATAACGATTATGAGCAATGCACCCAAAAAAGTGAGTGCACCGAAGACATAACCATATATATATATATATATGGTGGCGTCTTCGGTGCACTCACTTTTTTGGGTGCGTTCAGTGCACTCATTTCATAACCATCATTTTAAACATGCGATTTATGTAAAAATGATGTCAATCATCACTTATGATATGATGAACAATAACGCACATGAATTTGCACAAAAACCATTGAAGATTTACTTTAATTTGAAAGATTTAGAGTTTAGAGATTTAGAGTTAGGGTTAGGGTTTACAATTTGGAGTTTAGGGATAGAACTCAAAATTGGAGGTCTAAGGCTTAGGGTAATCGGCTAATTAGTTGTTATCATACGTTATATCATCATATTACACTGATTCTACAAATTAAAATTCAACATCCGACACCTTAAGACTAGTTTTTGAGTTGGGTGCATTGAACGCACCCATTTTTGTGAGTGCACCGAAGTAGTCACCATATATATATATATATATATATGGTGCCTTCTACGGTACCCCGGGTGAAATCCGGGGTCCCGCATACCTTGAGAATGAAAATGCTATCTAGACCTCGGATTAGTAGGATTTTTGGGCATGATACTATACCCTAACCCTTTATGAGTGAACCCTAGGTCCTAATTATCTAAATCATAAACTATAAACCCTAATATGGTGCATTGATTTTTTTGCCTATATTTGGACGAATCATAACCGTCGATTATTGATTCTAACTAAATTGATCTTGGGGTATAAGATTTAGTGAATTAAGACCTAGATTTTGATCTTGAAGGGTTAGAGTATAGTATCATGTCTGAAAGATCAGTCAATTCAAGTTCTGGATAGCGTTTTCTTACTTAAGGTATGCGATACCCCGGATTTCACCCGGGGTACAATAGAACTCGCCATATATATATATATGGTTCAGGCTAGCGTACGCCTGGGCGTACCTTAGTCTACCGTACGCCCTTTGAGTTTTGCTATTTAGATAATGAATTAACCGGAGTTTTTGGCATGATACTATACCCTAACCTCTAATGGATAAACCCCAGTCCCTAATTTTCTAACCCAACTCATGAGATTCATTTAATCTTAAAAATTAAATCAACAATAATTTTGACAAATCAAGACCGTTGATTTTCATTTCAAGATTAAATGAATATTATGCTTTGGATTAATGAATTAGGGACTGGGGTTTATCCATTAGAGGTTAGGGTATAGTATCATGCCAAAAACTCCGATTAATTCATGATCTTAATAGTAAAACTCAATGGGCGTACGGTAGACTAAGGTACGCCCGGGTGTACGCTAGCCTTTGCCATATATATATATATATATATATATATGTATGGGGAGTTCTACGGTACCCCGGGTGAAATCCGGGGTACCGCATACCTTGAGTACGAACACGCTATCCAGAACTTGAATTGACTAATCTTTCGAACATGATATCATACTCTAACCCTTAAAGATCAAAATTTAGGTCTTAATTCTCTAAATCTTATACCCCAAGATCAATTTAATTAGAAAGAATAATCGACGGTTATGATTCGTCCAAATATAGGCAAAAAATCAATGCACCATCTTAGGTTTTATAGTTTATTATTTATATAATTAGGACCTAGGGTTCACTCATTAAGGGTTAGGGTATGGTATCATGCCCAAAAATCCTGCTAATTCGAGGTCTATATAGCGTTTTCATACTCAAGGTATGCGATACCCCGGATTTCACCCAGGGTACCGTAGAAGGCACCATATATATATATATATATATATATATATATATATATGAGAAAAAAATTTTGAAGAGTAGTCAACGCCTACTGGTTATTCATTAAGTTTTCAATCTATAGATTATCAAATTTTGTGTTGGTTGTAAGGTTGTTTATCAACATGAGTTAAAACAACAAATCTCATAAAATGTTCATGAGACGTAAATTTTACTGTGTTAATGTTAGTGTTTCCAAACATTTTACCATTAGAGATTGGCTTCCAATAAAAAAAAAGTAGGAATAACCAATTCTGAAGAAAAAGATTTTGTTAAGGAAGACAAAGACATTGTAATTGCTGGAGATGATGGTGCTTTAGAGGGAGGAGGCGGAGTAATCACATGAAATCCAAAATGAAATTGCAATAATTCTTGAAACTGAGGATCAAATAGTATGGTCACCTTATTAAATTTTTAGGAGTCAATTTCCTTGCATGGTTTATGTTTTTTTATTTTGAGTAAGGACAATTAATAAATCGGGTTAGCATGTTGAAAATTAAACGAGTATGATTCCATTAACTAAATCATTCAAAACTTTTATGGTATTAAATAAAACATGTCTTGTTTTGGACAATTATTAAAATTATTTATAATATTAATAAAATTCAGCCAACGGACGGGCCCTAATCTAGTATTTAAAACGGTTCTTCCTCCCAGAAAGCATATCTTGGAGTGTGAAAGTAAAACGTAGGACGCACGGCATAGCAAACGTCCAGAAAGAAAGACGAGCTTCGGTGCCACTGGCCTGAACATACAAAATTACCATCGTCTGCATTCAACAATCTAGAATTATCGCACATATAATCCGACGAAGTAAGCTTGAGTTTATGCCGAAGATCCGAGCTTGTAAATGGTCGACATGCTGGAGTGATTGAAGTTGGAACACACAGCCGAGTCGACGGTGGAAAATGACTGGAAGAAGCATAAACGAACATGCGCGAATTTGTTAAAAAGCAAAACAGCGCAAAAGACCTCTTCTTTTCCCCTTTTGGGTAGGCTGACTCGTTCTTCTGGAGTTGTTCTGTCACAACAAAAATAGGAAAAAGGGGAACCAGGTTCCTTTCCAAATGTGCCATCAAAGATATAATAAGTAGGGTCTCAATCACCCATTGCTAGCCGGCTACCAGCCATCTCCACCGGCCGGCGAATGAGCCATGATCAAAGGATAGAAAGAAGATTCTACCCAGGAAAAAAGATCGAAAGAAGAACTTGCTTCACTAAGATCAGTTCCTGTAACGTAAATCCTGCGACCAGAACTTTCAAAAGAACATTTTTTCTCGAATTGGGAAAACTTGGTGCAGTAGTACAGAGTTCTAACATCAGAGTTTTCTTGTTTTACTTGAATTCACAAGCATATATACAAGAATGTTCTTGGCCTACAGTTAAGTTTAAAAAGAACTCTGGTTTTCCTTTCTTCTACCTCTTTCTCCCCGCCCCGGACATCTGTCCGGCTCAACTCCAAGATGTATATTCTTCACATTACTACACTGTTCCGGCATTTTCTGTCATTGTTAGGCCGACTAGGGGAGGAATGATGATGTCATATCATATCGGGGTGGTTCTCGTACCTGGTATTGAAATACAGGGTGCGGTATACATTAGGAGTTGTTGTCATCTCATGTTGCAGCATTGAGGCAAACCAAACTTCTGCAACTTTTCCCAAAGGCAGATCATCTGCCGTGGGGACTGGTAGTGCGATGTGTAATAGCCATCGAAGCATCCAAACTGGCAGAACTTCAAGCTGTGCACTAGTTCCACTGCTTTCGTCCTGTTGAACTTCTGAACCCACATTCCCATGCTCACATCTTCCATCTTGAACAGCTGCAGTATAAAAATAGAAACGAAACAAAAGAGTAGCTACTGTGTCAGCTGAAGATGTGTATTTTACAAATGGACGACATGTAAATAAAACAAGGGCTACTACACGTACTCTTAATTTATGTTTCTCAAACTCGGAGACGATGAATCTGGCTATGTCCGCTGACAAAATGTAGCCAGGCCCATTGGCATAGGGCGGGTAATCTTCCTCTGGCCACTCCTGTTGAACATAAATACTTATTTAAATTCTTCAATATACGGTGAACATGCTGATATGCATTACTCCAAAAGCGTAACAGATGCTTGTCAATCTCGATGAGGAGACTAGATCATACCTGGTAAGTGACAGCCCATTTCCCGTGTCGGAGGGGCTTGTGGAAGTAATTTATGTTGCCAATATACAAGCTTCGTCCCTCGGGAACCTTTTTAGCTTCATCAAGAACTGTCTCTACCCTTATGAAAGTGTCGTCATCTCCCTTCATTATATACTTTGCTCCAACAGTCCGGACCTGCAGATAATAAAAAGCCCCGATATTAATACCAGATTATTCAGAAAATGAACACTACTCCGATATGAAATCAGCCTATTTCTCACCCCATATTCGCAGATGGCAACGGTTTTCAGAACCACAAGGTCATAGTTATCCATGTAAGGCACTATCACAATATCTCCAAAAAATTCGGCTTCTTTCTTCAATTCCAAGTTCACTTCTTTTCGTGCATGCTGGCAAAAACACAAATCCAGCTCATTTACCACAACTTGGATAATGGATAGACAGCTTTACCCAACATGATTGCAGACAAAAACCCAACTTACAAGTGATACAAAGAACCGAGCAACCACATGTGAAGTTCTGATCAGTCTGTGGCGCATCCAAGACTTCCTGACAGCCATCCTTTCAGCAAAATGGTTACCTGCTGAAAGAATGCCAATGAAAAGTTCCACAGGCCCTTCAGGAAGAGCTGGTGCTCTCCAAACAATAGACTTCTCAAGATGCTTCTGAGGAGCAAAGCTAGGATGAGCTGCAGGCAATGATGCAGCAAATATGGAGTGGACATCGACATCCCCATACACAGTGAGTCCTGTGGCATCCTCAAGTGTAAATCCCTGCAAAGATTAACAATTAAGGTTATCAGTTGTTCCTGTATAACATATTGAAATGGAAAATAGGATATATTACTTACAGTGCGATAAGGGAAAGAGGTCACATGCCTCCCATCAACATTGAGGTGATAACCTTCCAAACCAGCAGTTAGAGTCAAAACAAACATTTTCTCCTCTGCAAATGGGAATGGCCAATCAAACGTCACTTTTTTGGTTCGGCCAATCAACCGGTTTAACCACCAAGTAGCCTTTGATTCCTCTGAGTGGTTGTTATCATCACGGATCCACTTCTCACACTTCACCTGGCCATCAACTGCAGGCAACAGGGTAAGATATGGAGCTGCAGATCGAATACCAAACAGCATATGCATCTAATGTTTTGGAAGGTTTTATAATCAATTTACTGTTAAGTAAAGAAGACAATGGATGAAGCACCAACGATCACAAGGCTGGAATCTTGCAGACATATTAACTACCTAAAATTTGTTTGCAGGCATCACATTTTCGTGCATTGCCACTTTGATTAATAAGGAAACCGATAAAAGAGGAGCATATTCTCAGTCCTTCGGGGAGAAGCCGTAAGCCTAAACTAGTAAACTTGCAAAATTCAGGTCAATCATTAAGCTTCCAAGCTTGAATAGGACTCCAAGAGAGTTGGGTCCAATGACTTCCGTGCAAAATCAATCGAAAGAACTCACTTTAGCCATCTCAGAATACCATATTTCTATTTTAAATGACAGACTATATAACCACAGGAACCGATTAATTAACTCTAGGAGACACATAACAACAGATCACAGTGTCATTTTCTCTCTTGTTACCAATCAAGTACCACTTCGGCCAAAAGCAAGATGCTTGTTGAACACACCTCAAATGGTGAACAAGAGCTTAACACCATCAACTAAATACCAAAAATGGACACTATAAAAATGATGAAGGAACAGCTTTACCTGTCTCCTCGTCAGCATTAGATTTCCACCCTTCGCATCGTACTCCAGTGCCCCACTGCATCCTGTAACAAGTATTCTGCTCGATCACAGGCTTGCCACTCCAATCCCCCTTCAACCTCGGATTGAAATGTAGAATCCTGGGCGGATCCTCACCATCCACGATCTTCAAACCCTGCAACTCCATCATAAACTGGGACACCATAACCGACGACCCGCCATCTTTAATCAAAGATATCTTGGGGTCAGCCTCTGCATGAGCTGCCCTCGGCTTCCCAACCACCGTGATGTGGGAACCAATCGTGAGCCCACAAGGAAGCTCCACGACCCGGCCGCGACTCAGAAACTCAGACCCAGTCAGCGTCACCGAGTTGGGGCACGACTCAGTACGGTTCTCGGGCTTCTTCGGCTCCAGGAAGTCGAATTCATCCCTCTCGATCTCAGCCCACATCTTCCTGCCAACTTCCCAAGCAGTCTTGGCACTCTTGTGGAGCTCCACGGACCTGTCCTTCTTAGTCGGATCAAAAGTCTCCGGGTCGAACTTCAAGCTGGAGAGGATGTTCTTGGGGAGTGCGATCTTTTTGGCGGGGAGGAGCTGGGTCGGACCCGGTTGGGCAGAGGCGGCGGTGGTGTGGGATTCCCATGAGCGAGGGCGAGAAGGCGCGTCCTTGTCCAGCAAATCCTCCTCGCTCTGGAGCTTAGACGGGCGAGTGAGTGCGTCGGGGGAGACGGAGGAGCTAGCGCCGGAGTTGAATAAATAAGGAATTTCCACTGTGACGAGGAAGAAATACAGGACCCCCAAGGCAATAAGAACGTGGAACGATCGCTGCCGCGTGACGGCACCGAACTTGTCCAATCGGGTGTCCGATTTCCCCCTCTTCATGCTCCTATTGTTTCCAGACGCTAAAGGGGGAAGGGGGGGAAACGGGTTCTCTGGAATCCAACAGCAGCAGCAGAAAAGGAGGGATTTGAATTTCTGGGTTTGGTTCAAAAGTTGCAGAAAGGGGATGGGAGAGGGAAACAGAGGGGATTAGGTCATCACCACGGAAGAGAGAGTTTGAATTCAAAAGGATGGGCGATTCCGGTTTGCGATTGCAGATTATGAAGAGGGTGAATTGGTGGGGGGAGATTGGAATGTAAGAAACGGAGGAGGGGGAGAAGTAAAACGGAATGCGGAGGGAATCAGATCATTTTTCTGTCCTAAAACCGAAGCCAAATAATTAGAAACGGGGAAGAAGAAGAAGAAGAAGGAAAAAGAACCCGATAGGGTTAGCGAGCGAGTGGGGAAGAAGAGAAGAGAGAACAGAAGGGGAAATTTTTAAAATTCTAACCGTCAGAAAGTAACCTTTGCATATAATTATGGCTTTATTAGATGGACTGATTAATTAATAAATGAATGAAACTTAAATCTTGGAAAGGGTTAAAGAGAAAGGGTGTTGTTGTGGGCGGTGGGCGCGCTCTCTAGGAAGAGCAGTCTTTTTAAGGCAAGGAAAAAAGATTCCCAAGGAAAAAAAATATATTAATCAACAACTAATGCACAAGGTTGTCAACCGGTCCGACCCGCGGTTAACCAGGATTGACTCGAACCGGGCGAGAAAACAAGCGCCATATATTCGTAGGTTAATTTGCAATAAGGTTCTTGGAGTTGGTAATGATGACAATTTCCAATCTGATTTGCGTGATCCAATCTACTTCGATCTATTTGGAGTGGCTATTACCTACCCGCAATAGCGTATGGTGTGACATGAGTATTGTTTCCGACCTGTCACCCTATTTCTATCATGATTTGCATCAATATCTAGATGTATGTCTATTCTTTTGACCTTTCTAAAACCATACTTTCATCCATTTTTTAAAGTATCTTTCAACTGTTTAGACACAATTATTCATTCTAATACATTTATCATTCAATTATGAAGTGTTTTCTCTATATGTTCTTGTAAACGAGTTAAATATCGACATTATTTTTTCCAATAACATATATGAATGAGTCGAACCATCCCGCCCCATACCCAAGTGAATATTACTCCATCAGACCTGCGCTAAGTGCATGATGGGCCCGCACAGTCCAGCTCGGCCTCATTGTCATTACTACGGGTTGAAGGGTCACATAACGTTGTTTATACCTTTGGTTTGTGAATTGCACATCTTTTTTCGGCTTTCCCCTTCCTCTAACTCTATTCTTTGGAATTAGAATAGTTGAACATCAATGTTATTTGAGTGTGTTTGAATGTTCACTATATGTTGGAGAACTATTATTTTTGGTGTAACGTTATATGTTATTTTATATATGTTAGATGAGATTTAATATAATTTTTAAATAAGATTTAATATAATAATTTTTTTAATATATATTCTAGCTAATTCGAATTAACACGATGGAACCATTAACCTTCAAATCACTTAATCGATTGGACAAACGGGCTTAAACCGGATGGACAATGCACAGCGGCAGCAGGCGAGCAGAAGAAGCGAGGTGGTCCCACCCGCCACCACAGAGAAACAAGAAGAAAAGCTGCTGCTGCTTTGTGGTTCCGCTGTCAAACACCTGGCGCACCCAGGACAGGTGTCCATCACATTTACTCGTTTCGTGCGTGGTACAGCCAAACGCCAACCCTAGAAAGCAACCCCAACCAAGTACTTGTTTTGAATGATTTGATTTGACTAGTAAGAAGACCTGTTGTTGAGGTCAAACAACTTTCACCAAAATATAACCGCTCAGTTGGTTGAATAGTCATTAGTATTACCAGGCCAATGGAAGCTCATTGGCTAGAGGGATTAGGGATGTGTCTTTCGGCCCAAATCACCTGGCCCAAATGCTGCCAAGTGCCATGGTGACAAAGACGATACGTGAAAATTGGTTAATACTAAATCATATTGGATAATTGAAGGACTAAACATGCTTGTGGGGAAACTATCATGTATGTTAGATGGGCCGAGTGAAATCTGAAATGTAACTAAAATCATGCTTATATATAAAAAGTTCATATAATTATGTTTTCCCTTCACTAAAACGCTTTAAGTATCCACGTAAAAGATTCATATAAAATCGGGCTAAATCAATTGTGGACGATGGAAGCGCACTAAAGCGATTGCGTTTTACAACCGCCAGCCTTCCCTCAATAGAAACCTTCTCCTCCTGTTCCAATCGCTTTTTTTTTTTTTGTCACGTACCCCCTATCTTCTATCACTCGTCACCGCACCCATCGTCTTCGCCATCGACACATCCTGAATAGTTGGGGAAAAAAAACATTTCAATTCCCGTGATTAGTTCTTTATTGTGTAAGTTTTATTCTTCTAGTCTAAATGGTTAGTATTGTAGCAGTCACAATCAGCTCGATAACTTATTTTATAATGTTAGTATGCAGTATAAGATCGATTATAAAATCTCTCAACAACTCCGGTTTTTGGGACATGTTGATCTATTGAAGTTGAAACCATCTAAAATACGGGCTTCCAAATCAATTATGATTTTTCCTAGCCCAGCCCATTAGTGGTATGTAGTAGTGACTAGCCCAGCCCAACCCAACCCTTCCAAAAGAGATTGGTGGCCCATTGAACGAAACTGGTCTCAAACTCGACGACATGTCGTTCCGACTCCCTAGTTTCAGACTTTTGGCGATGAACGAACCACGTGACTGAGGTCTGAGAGGTCAAAATCCCGACGCCGATACTTCCTCAGGCAGAGGGTTTCGTTCGTCGGTGGGATTCGATTCAATATTTCTCAACCGCCGAGCAAGAAAAAAGAAGCTTGAAAGCATATCAAGGTCGAAAGCACTGGAAGACATGGTGGCGATCTCGCTTTACAGGGGGAATCTCCACCGGGTCCCCGACGCCCCTCGTCGATGGCTAATGCCCACCCGCAGCCTCTCCCTCAGGGACTTCAAATCCCTCCTCAACCGTCGCTCCAGGGCTCTTTCTCACCTCCGCCCCTCCTCCGCCGCCGTCGTTGTCCCAGTCGGTACTACCTCTAACCCTAACCCTGACCTTACCAAGCTCGATTCCAAGGAAGTCGGGGATCCTCCTACGCCTCAATTGAGGGAGATAAAAGCTGTTGATGACGATAATCATCGCTGCGATGAGGAAGAAGGGGCTCCCGGCAGGGCTGGAGGAGAAGGTGCTGAAGCGGACCGGCGGTTGTTGAACGGTGGAGATTGCTCGATGAAGCTGGAGGATGCGGCTGTTGAGAATCCTGAAGCAGTTGAGAAAGGTGGAGTTGAGGTTGTTAATGGTGATGGAGTTGTGCAGGCTTTGCTCGCCGTGAAGGTGGAGGAATCGGCTGAACCTAGTGCTGAGGTAGTCATGTGGGAGAATCTTGAATGTTATTGGCGCTTGCGTTTGTTTGGAAGTGTTTATGCTGTGATTCAAGTTGGCAACTAGGCTACATACTCATTTCTTTGAAGTGGTGGATTCTTAAGCTTCTGAATAAGTTTGTGCTAACTCTGAATAAGGATTTTGAAGGAAATAGAAACAGGGAAAACGGTCCGAGCCACTCAATTGCTGTTAAGCACAGGAGTACCAGAAGTATGGCGATTCAATTGATAGAAAATTTGACCACCAGTGAGCCCAAAATGAGTGCTATGCGTAATCTCCCTTGGTTGGGTTCAGACTTCCTATGAATGTTTATGGTTGTCTGACTATATTACAACTTAACAACTGACACTAGAAACTAGAAGAGTTTTTCTGGGTCGTTATTGTGTTTAAAGTGTTAGGTGTCGAATTGCAGCTGACAGATTTGGAAGTCTAAGGGGTCAATGTTCCTCATTGGGACGTTTGGCCTTTTAAGTTTATATCAGTATTGTTTTGCTGCATTTGGGAGGTTTTTGATGTTTTCAGTGCCTTCTGCACTGTTTCTATGATCTTGAGTTTTCTGTTCTACATTGTTTCTTTATTTGATGATGAACTCTGATTTCATATGTTTCTCCCCAGGGAAAAGACGAACCTGAGCTGTCCGACGAAAAAGCAAAAAGGAAAAAAGAGGTCGAGGAGAAGTTGGAAGTTTTGAATGCAAAGAAGCATAATCTAGTGCAACTTCTAAAGCAGGTAATTTTTTTTTATTCCATCGCATCCTCATTTTAATTGTCTGTGGAACTTTAGGAACGTCTGCTTGATTTCCTGTTTTACTAGTTTTACCCTCTGGCTTCATCACGTTTTTTCATGAGATCTGTATGAAATATTTGCTTTCCGTTGACAGTTACTAAATGCTGAGGAAGAGTTGAAGAGGCGAAGCACTATGCAAACAATGACAACTCGTCCATCTGGTTCGCTTCAGGTAGATGTCACAAATGATTCTGGGTCATTGACCAGACACCTCACTCCTAGGATGGGGTCTGAGGTTAATCTTGGGGCAGATATGGAAGGAGCTGAAAATGAAGATGTTTCGAATCAAAACGTTCATTCTCGTCATTTACAAAGAATGAGCAGTACTTCTCCATCTTCAGAGTCTCCCCTTAGAAGACCTCCCTACAATGTGGTAAGTAAAGTTTCCTGTATTTTATGTAATCACCTTGATGAAGAGCACAATGTCTTACTAGTCCCTCTTGCTTTTGTTCTTTGCCTGGGAATACCTTTTTTTGTCATGACCATTTTGGGAGCTACATTGAGTGTCTTGCTGAACTTTGTTCTAAGAAGACTGGCCGTACGCTTGCATCAGTTACAAATTATGAACTAACGATGTTGCTGTCTGGAATGGCTAAGGAAGCGATATTAGGTCATAGGGATATGTACTTGTTGCATCCATTAAGTGACAAGAGTAATAGGCCAGACTGGCTGAGTGCTGAGAATTACAAGGTACAGATGGCCAAAGTAAGAGTTGACTTCGTTGGTTGTTATTAAGGTTCGGCTTGTTTATATCTAGCTTTAGGAATCTTTCTTTGTGTTTCCCAATACAATTTGAATCAGATATTGTGCCTCATTAACCAACGCATTTACCCTTGTACGTGGTACCCTTATTTGTAGTTGTTAGGATTACTTGTTAACATTACCTGGACTTCATTTTCTTTATGTGAATCGTCCCAACTGTTAGCCCTCGTAACTCAATAATAGTTTAGCAACCAAAGATGCCCTTGTGCTTGACTGAGATTCATTTTTCGGAAGATAACCCTGCGAGGAACATTTTAGTATGTGATTTTCTGGGAGGTAGAAAATATGAATGGGGATGGTGCCGCTGAAGGTTTGTTGTGACTGTTTTACCCCTCTTTGTAGTTCAGTGTTTGCAAACAACATTTAGGTGAAAGATTTTTGTTACTCAGTGATCGAGATATAATTATACTTTCTACTCTTTGCCCTCTTGCATGGCATTGCATTGAATCCAGTTTGGTTTTGCATATTCATCAATGTTTTGTCTTCTGAATTAGTATTGGTGGTGCCTGGAAACCCCTTTCTGTGTTTTTCAGTCGTCTCATTGTTCAATTCTTATGTATGAAAAACGTGAGGTGAAAGACTGTCTTCTTGTTTTGTTACTTTCATAGGTTCCGCCCCTCCCATCTCGAACAAGTTTGGGAGCCAGCCCATCGCGGTTTGCACCAACAGGGCAACAACATCATCCGGCAAACCCACCACCCACAGTATCCATATCTGGAACGAATTACGCACCGTCTTCTCCTTCCCCTGCAGCATCTGGTGGCACCTCAGCATTTCGGGATGCTCGCCAACCTAGCCCATGGAACTAGATCTATCTCGACATCTTATCTCTGTATGGATGATGAAGTGCTGGAATTCTGAAAGTTTAGCAGTCATCCAAGCACACTACCATGGTTCATCCTCCTTGGCTGATTCTCATCCTGTAGCTCTAGAACTTGTGGCAGACTAAAGGATATCCAACCATCTTCAGGTTTTGTCTTCTCTCCTCGTCATCATTCTTCATTGTACATCTAATTAACCTGTATTCATTAATTCCATTCGTAAATTGTTGATGTTGTCATTTGCAGTGCTGTATATTTGTAGTCTGCAACTCCCATTTGAGTGTATTTGTGCACCTTATTTGTAGCTAGTTATGATAGGTAATAGTCGTCTCTGGTTGCTCCTCTAAACAGAGCATTGATGAGAGATGTACACTCTCTTGTTGTTCGTTGATGAACTATCACTGCGGTGGGTTAACATGCTTGTGCAATCAAAGTGTTGCCAGTTCAGTCTTTCTTACTGCCCCATAAATTGAATCTTCTTCCACGGGTTTGTAAGTTTTGAACCATTTCTGATTTTTGCTTACATGTTATATTGGCTCCCAGAGCCCACCACCAAGCAACATCATCGTCTTATACAAAATCTGCATCGCATGGTTTCATGCAGAACCATCATTACCTCACGGCCACTCAAGTCCTCTGGCCACCTGAGATAGCCAGCTAAACGACTTCTGGCCACCCGCCCTTTTCATCAATAGGACATCCCTTTTCAGTCAGACCTGTCGCTGGCTATACACTCCAGCGTCGAGTCCCATCCATAGTGTGACAAAAGCTCACTACGGACGGGTGGGCCAGGATCTCCGCCTACGGGGCCCACATGGAGATGAGAAGCCCGAGATCCTGTGTTCTGGAGAAGAATCCATCAGGATAATTCCTGTGGGGCCCTTCTCGACGGCCCATTTTCTAAGCCCAAGAAGAAAGTGAGTGAAACATCATCGTTCGTGGGAGTAGGGTGGACCACCCACATCAATCGCTGCCCGCTCAGCTCAAATCCCCATGCCAGCTCGACCAGTTGAGCGTGTGGGAGGTCCCCACCACTTGCGGGATGACACGACAGAATGGCGAGGCTACTTGTCCGACTATTGGACGAGGAGGAGGTCGATGTGGCTCTTGGACTTGTCGTTGGTGGTGGTCCCTAAACGAGGCAATCATACCAGTCGGACGAGTGGTCCGACCGAGTAGACAGACACCTTCACTACATTCTTGAGAGACTTGGAGAGCCTCTAGTGTTTTGACCTCCATTTCTTCCACATGTTCAGGAAAATCCCATCCATCTTCGTGTGTCGAGCCCCCAGTTGCTCGTACTCACGAACACATCGAGCGTGTCCTTGAATCGAACCGATCTTCATCTAGGAATTGTTAGAAACCAAACAATAAAAATAGGGTTAACGATCTGGTTGAATACGGACTGGGTCGTTCTTTCTAAAAATTGAACAAGAAAATTAGAGTTACCGAGTGGCTTCCTGAGGTTGATGACGTGGTCTACTACCTCCTCCTTACCCGAGGAGCCGTAGACGGTGATGGCTAGGTACCATGCAGTGCACGTGATGAATGCGCACTTGAGCATGCCGATTGTATTTAATTGATTTGGTTTGCTGATTTTTTTTTTCAAAGTCAGTGTTGAAAAGATAGTCACAAGGAGGAAGAAAGAAAAACGCGGGAGTCGACCAATAGTCGAACTCCCGATGAGAGGGCCTTTTGTGCCACATGATGGGCAGCCCTATTTAGTCAACGAGAAACAATGCAGTAAGAAATCCAACTGAAATGAGAAGCTAAGTTCCGAGTATCCTCCAGTAAAGCTCCACCCCGATCATGCGCCAAGTCGCCTCCCACCATCCCGCCGTATCAATTGTTGTGAATCCCCATGAAATTTGACAAAGACAAAGGTCCCCGATCGACTATTGTGCAATTGAATCTTCACCTGCAAAATGAGCAAACAAAGGTCCCTACTAGGAGAATCCCGACCAAAGAGCCAACAAGTCAACAAAGACACAAGGCAGCAATTCGCCCTTAAATAGAGTACCAGGTCATCGGGAAACCCTAGATAACCGGCACCGGCTAATACACACCAAGTTTTTATTTTTTTTTTAATAAAAGGTTACAACCTAAATTTAGAAAGAATAATTAAAAACAAATAAAGTATGAAAGATAATTATTAAGGGAAAGAAAGAAATAATAATAATAATAATAATAATAAAGAATAATAGGAAAAAAAAGAAAAGAAGAAACACTTACCTGATTTGGATTCGAACGTGGGGAGGGGGTGGGGAACTACGGTTCCAATTTCCAACCAATTAATGGGAGAAAAGAAAAAACCAAAATAAAAGAATAATAGAAAATAAAAAGTAACGATCTATATTCCCCACTCCCGTTACCGTAACCGTCCCTGTTTCTTCGGTTTCTAATCCGACGGATCTCAACGACGGCACGCTTCTGAATCGGCGCCGACAGTGTCTCTCCCATCGTGGACTCTTCATGTAGATGCCTCTTGCTGCTGTTGCTACTGCTGTAGTTCGGAGAAAGAAGCCGGGATTGCAGCGACAGGAGAGCACAAGCCAATGGAGAGGAAGAGGTGTCGTCCATTCCGTGCAGATAGCTTCAATGTCGATTTTGTAGACCAGAAGCTTCCTCCGCTCCCTGCAACTCGTTCGGTACGCCACGACGACGTGACCAATCGCCAGAAAGAGCGAGCAGAGGAACAGAGCAGCCTCCATCCCGCAGACGTACCCGCCCCGATCGATCCGGTAGGCGCTGAAAACGTACGGCGCCTTCGCGGAGACGTAAATCAGCGAGCAGACGGAGCAAATCGCGGTGATCCCCAAGTACGGCCCCCGAGATAGCCTCGGCCCGTCGCAGAAGTTGTAAACGCAGAAGATGACGGCGGATCTCAGGATGGAGACGAGCGGGATGTCGACGAGGGAGTAGCGGAAATCGTAGTTGCTCAAGTCGGCGGCGAGAGTGCTGAAGGAGAGGGAGGAAGGGGATAGGGAGGCGGAGAGGAGGGATCACTCTCGACTTTTTTATCCTGCTGATTTTTTTTTTTGGCATGCTGATTGTATTGAGTTAACGCATTTTTATGGAGATGGACGAAATAACCTTTCTATTATTCGTCTAAACATATTTTATTAAACTGTACAAAATTAAACTCCAATAATCATTTCGTACTAAGTTGTTTGTGCCTGGAAGGTACCAGGCGGTTTTGTGAGACCTCAATGACCTCGGGCGGCTACGATGGTAGAAGGCGGTCTCCGAAACCCTGCAAGGAAAGGTCCTCAGGTGGAACCTGAGACCTCCTCCGATGCCTAAGTTAGAGAGAGAAGTGAGAGTATCGTAAATAAGAGAGAGAATGGAGTTGGTAGAAGTTACCATAAATGTGGCTTGTTGATGGGTATTTATACTAGTGAGCATAGGAGTGAGGACAACTGATGCATTGTCGGGCGACCTAGGGGCGCCTCTGGCCTCCATTAAATGCATAGTCAGATTCGTACTTTGGTCAGTGTCCGTTCTGGGCATGTCAGGGCACCGTACATGCTTGTTGTCGGGCGCCCTGACATGATTCCGTTGAATGCCTGTCGGGCGGTTTCCAGGAGGACGGGGAAGACCGCCTCCGATCTGGGCTTGTTTGTCTAATGAGCCTTTAGTGATTATGGGCTTGGGGGCCGTATGTCTTAATGATTAGGGCTCAAGATAGGGTGCATAACCCATGGTTATGCACCCATCAATAACCAAATCTGGACCCTTCATTTAGAAAATCCAGATATAAGGATGGAGAATTAAAGACCATTTTTATTTTCACTAGTTTTCTTAATTGACTCATATCTTTTTCGTTTTAACTCGGATTTTAATTTTTTTTGCACAGATGGAACGAGTTCATCGTGCTCTAAAAAATGAGATCAATTTTCAATATTTTTTTAGGAAAAAAAATTCTGGCCTTTCGGTACCAACTGCATACCATATGGTATTTTCTTCGTTTTTCATTCGTTTTTGAAAACGTTTGCACAGCAGGGACGAGTTCAGCATGATCTATTTGATCTACAAATTTCTGGATGAACAAATTACAAGACCAAAAAATACCACACAATACCATACAATACCACCATGGTACGGGGTGGTATTTTATGGTATACAATGTTAAAAGTCGTAAATGACAATTAATATACTTCTACTATCATGTATTCAATCATCCTACAGTCTTGGTTTGTGCCATACCACCATGGTACGCTTTTCAAACCATAGGTATGCTCTTATCTCAATACCAGTCAATACCATATGGTATAGACTGGTATAAAATGACTCAATTTTTTTTGTTCGAAAAATATATCAAAGTGGATATCATTTTGAAGAGCACAATTAATCTGATCTAACTGTGCAAAAAAATTAAATTTCGACTTAAAACGAGTGAGAAATCGTCCGTCAAAGATTAAGGAGGGGAAAATTAAAGGCTTTCCAAGAGAGAGAGGATGCTGATGTCATGCTGATGTGGGCGGGTTACTCATAGTTACTCACCATAAGGGGGAATGGATCAGGTCAGTAACTTTATTGTGAGTAACCATGAGTAACCCGTCCACATCAGCATGACATCAGCATCCTCTCTCTCATGGAAAGCCTTTAATTTTTCCCTCTTTAATCTTTGATGGACGATTTCTCGCTCATTTTAAGTCGAAATTTAATTTTTTTTGCACAGTTAGATCAGATTAATTGTGCTCTTCAAAATGATATCCACTTTAATATATTTTTCGAATAAAAAAAATTGAGCCATTTTTTACCAGCCTATACCATATGGTATTGACTGGTATTGAAATAAAAGCATACCTATGTTTTGAAAAACGTACCATGGTGGTATGAACAAACCAATGCTGTAGGATGGTTGAATACATGATAGTAGAAGTATATTAATTGTAATTTACGACTTTTAACATTGTATACCACACAATACCACCCCCGTACCAGGGTGGTATTGTATGGTATTGTGTGGTATTTTTTGGTCCTGTAATTTGTTCATCCAGAAATTTGTAGATTCAATAGATCATGATGAACTCGTCCCTTCTGTGCAAACGTTTTCCAAAACGAATTAAAAATGAAGAAGATATCATACAATACCACCCTGTACCAGGGTGGTATTGTATGATATTGTGTGGTATTTTTTGGTCCTGTAATTTGTTCACCCAGAAATTTGTAGATCCAGTAGATCATGATGAACTCATCCCTGCTGTGCAAACGTTTTCAAAAATGAATTAAAAACGAATAAGATACCATATGGTATGCAGTTGGTACCGAGAGGCCAGAATTTTTTTTTCCTAAAAAAATATTGAAAATTGATCTCATTTTGTAGAGCACGGTGAACTTGTTCCATCTGTGCAAAAAAAATTAAAATCCGAGTTAAAACGAAAAAGATATGAGTAAATTAAGAAAGCTAGTGAAAATAAAAATAGCCTTTAATTCTCCATCCTTAGATCTGAATTTTCTAAATGAAGGGTCCAGATTTGGTTATTGATGGGTGCATAACCCATGGTTATGCACCCTATCTTGAGCCACCATAAGGTTACTGACCTGATCCATTCCCAATGATTAGCCCAACATAAGTGATTATAATTTCTCAATCTTTTATCCATTGACGACTGACTGCCGACTGACGACTGACGAGTAAATTATAAAGCATTAACAGAGAGGCGAGAGCATATTAGATCTGAGTCAATGGTCAAAGCGAGCGAGACAAGACAACGTCTTTTCCATTCCGTTCCAATTTCCCATACCCGTGGCATGGTTTGCATGTTAGGAAGAAGACAAAACCAGATCTCCACATTCACTCGCCACTCGCCACTCGCCAGTTCCTCACAACAAAACCTAGCTTAGTAGAACAGAACAGACTCCAGCAGCCTAGTCTGCTGAAATCTAAGCAACATTCCACCCACCACCAACCTTCCTTCACACCGCCACTATGGATCCCACTTCCCAAGCATCCACAGCCAACCACGCCATCAACATCATCAACAGAGATCCTCCTCCAACAAAACCCTGTGGCAGCAGCAGGAGTTCATCTTTCATGTCTAATTACTTGTCTTCCAGACTCCTAAACCCATCTCACCACCACCACCGCTCCAACGACAAAAACCCACCACCACCTTGCTTAGATTCCCACTTGCAGGCCAGAGCCATGGCCGTTTCCGCTGATTTCGAAGCTTCTTCCGGGTTCCCTGCTGCTAAGTCCAAGTACTACTACCGCGCCCAGCAGAGGAGGCAGAGTGATGGCAGGGGCGAGAAAGAGACCCTGAAAAGGGTTGTTGGAAAGCAAGAATCTTTACCCCAGGGGAAGGTCAAGAAGCAGGATTTTGATTTGGGTTTGGTGTTGGTGGAGGAGGAGAAGAAGAAAGTTTTGGTTGTGAATGAGAAGACCAAGAAGAAGCAAGACAGCAGCAAGAGTGATGATGTTGATGTTGATGATTATGAGAGTGGGAAGAAGGAAATGGGAAAGGAAGTGGATCTTCTGTTGCTTGAAGGGGTTGATGATGTTAAGATAAGGAGATCAATGAATTGTTCACGAGTGGAGCTGGGTGATTTCTTAGCAAGCAATGGTGCTAAGACCGTCTCGGTTGATATGCCCCCATTTATGCAGATCCATGCTGTTGATTGTGCCAGGAGGACTTGTGATAGTCTCCAGAAGTTCGCTGCCAAGACCCTCGCTCTCACTCTCAAGAAGGTAACAGCTGCTACTCATCTATCACATCTCCACATTGCAGAAGTGGAATGTCTGGATTGTTAATTGATTGATTCAGGGATTGTTTCAGTTAATTCAATGGGTACATTTGCTGATTGATTTCTTTGAAAATCATCTCTATGCAGGAGTTTGATGGTGTTTATGGTCCGGCATGGCATTGCATTGTAGGGACAAGTTTTGGGTCCTTCGTGACTCATTCTGTTGGTGGGTTTCTCTATTTCTCAATGGACTCCAAATTTTATGTCCTCTTGTTTAAGACTACAGTCCAGAGAGCAGCAGATTCAGTTGAATAATTGGGATTGAGGATGAACCCATTTAAGTATAACCACGAACTCATTCCTCTGTGTTATAGATTAGATCAGTTTAGTTGAGCTGAAAGAGCCGTGACAGAAGCTAAAAAGAAATGCTGTCTCTTCCACAGATCTGTATTTTGTGTTTTTGAGGATTGTTTTTGTTTTTGTCTCTTTCGCTGTAGAAACTAGGAAAGCAGCAAAGCAAATGTGTGAATATGATATGGAAAGTTTTCACCTTTTCCACCCTTTTACCCCCCAAGTTCTCCCAACTTTCTGAGTAGTTTCACTGGCCAAAATTTCTGTTGCTTTCTCTCCCTGACCACCTAGTTTCTGTACCAGTGATTCCATAGCATTCCAACCTGTTCTAAATTCAATGTTGGTGATGAATAGATATATAGATTACTACAACCACAATAACAGAAGCTGGCTCCAACTAGTGTAGATGAATCTACTGACAGAATATAGCACAATATCTCACAAACCCTCCACTTCTGTCATACCCTTATTTTTTTTTTGGGTGTTACTGTTTAATATGATTCTTGATTGCACCTTCCCATCCCAGCTTCCATACTTATCCCTTTCTGTCTGTGGTGTGTGGGGTTATCTTGGGGTTCCAGGACCACTCCAACCTTAGAGGGAAATGAGACAAAAAGGGGAAGAAAGTCTTTGTTACCCAGAGAGTGCAATTCTGTGTGGGTAGTTTCAGGAATCTGGTCCTAGAAACCTACAAACAGAGAATTGGTCTGGACTGGAAGTTGTGCACTGTGTCAAGAACCAGTTGATCCCAATAACTCGAGTTGTTGGGAGAGGTTCAATCGTGGAAGGCTCTGATACCATGTCAAGAACCAGTTGATCCCAATAACTCGAGTTGTTGGGAGAGGTTCAATCATGAATCATATACCATAACACTAACACACTATGGTTGGGGACCAAACCTATGAACAGAAGTCTCAATCAATGATGTTGATGATGCAGTGTCATTAAGCTCTTTGAGTCGTTAGAATCCTGTGGGTGGGATGATAGGCAGTGTTAGAAATTTGCTAAGGGATTCTGGTTCAAGACTCTCCATTGTTCTTTTTGCTTTTTTTTTCTTAATTAGGGTAGCTTATGTACTTTGAATTGGAAGATTCTCTGTGATGTGGATTCAAAGAGAGACTGTCTCATAAAGCTTGGGAGGCTTAAAGCCATCCAATGATTTTCCATAGTTGGTTTAAGTGACTAAGTGGAGTGGAGGGCTCTTTCTTTACTACTAAGAAGAAGCAATGTACTGTTGAAGTTTAACATACAAAAGACTGGATTTGATGTTGAAGCAAAAGCCGAAATGATCACATTGGAGACAAAAACAAATGTAGACAAGAGCAATTTTAGATCCTCAGACTAACTAAACTTCTTTCACTAGCAATATTCTCTTATTAATATTCTTCTACCAAGAAAAATACATGTTAGATGAGAGTACACAAATGCAATCTTATTAAGGAATCTCTTGCTTTTTAATACAAGCCTTGAAACACATGCACATTGGATTTTCATACCAAATCTTCGGATAACGTCCAAAAACATCATCTCCGAACCTAAGTTGACAGGTAACGTCACACTTTCTAGTAATGGTATCATAATTCCCACTGCTTGTGTCTATATGGATGTTTGCAAAATTGCAAAACTCTGCTTGACAATCTGCTCGTACCATCTCGTTCCCTATTTCATTAAAACAATATAATCCCAACAAAAGAAAAGGTTTAGCCAAGTAATACACATTATCAATTACCATTCTACATGAGTAACAAAATTTTAAATGAAACAATAAAAAGATCAGAGAATTACCATGAATGAGACAAATCATTAGGATACCAAAGATAAAGATCGATAAACTTTTCATGGTTGATTGATCTGTCACCTATTGTTTAGTGTGTATGGGTTATCAACTCGTAGTATAAGGTAATTTTGATTCTCACAATAATATCAATATATAAGGGAATGTATTAACAAGACTTCTTCGTCACTTCCGTAAATCCTAACTTCTCCAGATAAATAGGCGGGATAACCAAATATGATTTTACATATTCGTAAAAAGTAAAAAAGATTTTTATGTAACGGTGTAACTGTGCAACCCATGATTCTTGGCTCTTTGACTTTAGCTGCTTGAGCAATAATTTTTCAATAACATTTCTTATCCTTTTAAATTCCACCAAATTTTTTGTTCTTATAACAATTTTGAATGAAGAATGATCCACTATTTAAAATAATATTTATTCGGTCATTTGGGTGAGAAACGTAACCACTAAAGTTGGCTAAATGTCAAGGGAAATTGGACTTTGTAACATTTCATCGTTTTTTTTTTTTAAAGTTGACACAATGGAACATAACATGAAATCCATATTGCATTGAGGTAGGGTAGGATTCTCAAGATCCATGATTGAGTTTTGTTATAACAACACACATTATAAGGCCATAAATGACGACTAACTTCACTGCTTACCACACAAAGTGGCTAATGCTTAGCCACACTGTGAAGCTCTATCCTTATAGGCAATGATCAAACCCTTAACATGATGGTTAAACTACGAGGCAATCAACTACAATGTGTGATGCGGTACAAATGAGCACATCATCTTATGCGGACAAACTCGTGGTTGGCCACCCTTGCTATGTTTCCTTTTACATCTATTATCGAATGGTGAACTATTTTGTTAGATTTCTTTTGATGAATGAGCATTTTATTTCACCAAATACGATTAAAGAAAAAACTTACAAATAGTTCAATGTCTCAACCAAATAGTTACAGAACTATCACACCTTATTACATTTTCATTTTTGCTCTACTATACAAAGAAAAAAGATTTCTCCTGCAGTTCCATACCAAACTCTGTACACCCTGCGGTTTTCACTTTTCAGCACTGCTTGTATTACGAGTCCCTGTACCCTTTTGTATATGTCGCATAGTTGGAGTAGTGTTTTGGATATTTTATATCACGTAACCCTAGCTGCTGTTTATGGGTTTCGTATATTTAGCCTGACCATAAGAGTTTGGCGGTTGTAACACAGGTGTGTAACCTAGTGAAGTTTGTTTCGAGAGCTGTAGCTCTCCGTGGAGTAGTCTCGTTCACGTTGAACGGGGAAACCACGTTAAATCGTCGTGTTCGTTTCTTTTCCGCGTTTGGTTTTCTACATGGTATCAGAGCTGTGACAAGATCGTTCTCGTTTCCGTTGTGCTGCGATGAGCGCGTTCTCCAGTTCTTCGCCTTCAGGCCTTGGTGATGACACCAATGGCGGCGGCGGCGGCGGGTATGAAACTGACCCCGCCTCCCCGTATTTTCTCAGTCCCTCCGACAACCCAAACCAACTGTACGTTGGTGAGCTTCTGACCGAAGGGAATTACGCCGACTGGGTGTATGAGATGACGACTTCGCTCTTAGCGAAGAACAAGCTCGGTTTCGTGGACGGGTCGCTCGAGGAACCCTCCGATCCGGGAAGGCTGCGCGCGTATCGCCGCGCAGACGCCATGGTGAAGGGGTGGTTGACCACCGCTGTAGACAAGCAGGTTCGCCGCGGTATGCGTCACGCCAAGACTGCCCGTGACGTGTGGACGGACTTGAAAGAACGTTTTGAAGTGGGAAGCCATCCACGTGTGTACGAGGTCCGCCGCAGCATCGGCCGTCTCCCACAAGAAAAGTTGTCTGTTTCTGAGTTCTACACTCGCCTTCGAGCCCTATGGGAGGAGCTTCAAACAATAGTGCCCCTCCACCCCTGTACTTGCGGTAAGTGTACGTGTGGACAGCAGCAGAAGAACCAGGAGCGTGAGGAGCATTTTCGTCTATATGACTTCCTCATGGGCCTGGACGAATCCTTCTCTACGGTCAAGACACAGGTGCTCTCCATGCCTAAGATGCCTACTCTCTCCGAGGCCTACCAGCTGGTCTCTAGCGATTATCACCAGCGCCGTATCGCCGCGGAAAATCGCCCAGCCCCAGAGGCTGCTGCCTTCTTCTCGCGTGATGAGCCTGGTCGCGGTGATGGCGTCCATGGTGAGAAGCCGCGTTGTTCCCATTGCGGCAAGCAAGGCCACTCCAAGGATCGCTGTTTTGATCTTATTGGATGGCCGGAAAAGCTTGCTTCCAAGTCCGAGAAGGGCGGTCGTAAGAAGTCCTCGGACCGACCTCGTTCTGGTCCGAAAGCAGCCCAGGTCGCAGCCACCGCGAGTCCCATTCCCGGCCTAACCGCCCAGCAGTTTGAGAGTCTCAAGACCTTCCTCAGTGGTGATTCGAAGGGACAACTTGACGAGGTTGGCAAGATGTCAGGTAATCCCTCTCTATCCCCTGCAGAATGGGTTATTGATACAGGTTGTAACCAGCATATTACTAAGGATGCTAGTCTTTTATCTGGCGGTCGCCATGAGTCTGGGCTCGCAGTTCGTATCCCCGATGGGGGAGCTATTGATGTTCAGCGTGTTGGTTCTGTTCAGTTAGGCAACGGGTTAATACTGCCTCGAGTATTACTTGTTCCGGAGTTTAAATGCAACCTTCTTTCCGTTAGCCAGCTCACTAAGCACTTCCCAGTTGCGTTGATTTTCTTGGGGGATTTCTGTTTTATTCAGGACTTACACTCCAAGACTCTGATTGGGATGAGTAAGGAGCGCGATGGCCTCTATTATTTGCGTCTCTTTGACCACGTCCGACAGGCCATGGTGTGTGCGACGCAAGCGGAAGGGGTTGCCAGCCTGTGGCACTCACGTCTCGGTCATCCAGCACCGGAAAAGCTACATCGGTTGAATTTTGTTCCTAGTTCTAGTCGGATAAAAAAGATACTTGCTCCCATTGTTTGCGAGCTAAACAGTCGAGAATTCCTTTTCCGTTGGGAAGTTCTCCCCGTAGTACAGTTCCTTTCGAATTAATTCATGTGGATATTTGGGGTGGCTACAGAGTGGCATCATTGAGCGGTGCTCATTATTTTCTGACGATTGTGGATGATTTTACTCGTGGTACATGGGTTTATTTGATGAAGTTCAAGTCGGAAGTTGGGAAATATCTTGAGCTATTTTGTCAGCAGGTTAAGCGCCAGTTTGGGGCTGCTGTTAAACGTATACAGGCTGATAATGGTGTCGAGTTTCAGACAGTTCAGCTTCGTGACTATTATGCCCAAGAGGGCATTCTCCTTCAGACATCGTGTGTGAACACACCCCAGCAGAACGGCATTGTTGAACGGAAGCACCGTCATACAGTCAGGCGGTCCACTCTCCTCGGCAAAGTCACGTTGATGCTGCTCATCGTGTTCTCAGATACTTGAAGAGCTCCCCGGGAAAGGGCGTATTCTTCCCAGCCACCGGCAGCCTTACTCTCAATGCATACTGTGATGCAGATTGGGCAGGTTGTCAACAGACTCGACGTTCTACCACTGGTTATTTCATGACGTTGGGAGGCAGTCCCATTTCTTGGCGGACTAAGAAACAGACTGTTGTTGCTCGCTCTTCTGCAGAAGCTGAGTACCGAGCCATGGCCAATGCAGTCAGTGAGGTTATCTGGCTCCGGTCACTTCTACGCGAGCTCCGTGTTCCTGTTCACTGTGCTACTCCGTTATACTGCGATAATCAGGCTGCTCTCCACATCGCAGCCAACCCTGTTTTTCATGAGCGAACGAAGCATGTTGAGATGGATTGTTATTTCGTTCGTGAGCGTGTTGCTAGTGTAGAGATCGAGCCGCGCAAGATTGCCACTACTCATCAGCTTGCGGACGTGTTCACGAAGGGCTTGGGTGCCGACCAGTTCACTACCTTGACATCCAAGCTTGGCCTTCATGACATTCACGCCTCCGCTTGAGGAGGAGTATTACGAGTCCCTGTACCCTTTTGTATATGTCGCATAGTTGGAGTAGTGTTTTGGATATTTTATATCACGTAACCCTAGCTGCTGTTTATGGGTTTCGTATATTTAGCCTGACCATAAGAGTTTGGCGGTTGTAACACAGGTGTGTAACCTAGTGAAGTTTGTTTCGAGAGCTGTAGCTCTCCGTGGAGTAGTCTCGTTCACGTTGAACGGGGAAACCACGTTAAATCGTCGTGTTCGTTTCCTTTCCGCGTTTGGTTTTCTACAGCTTGAGTCCTCGTCTTCTGAATTAACTCACCAACTTAATTATCAGCTTTGGAATTACCCAAAAATATCATACATGCAATGAAAGAGTGTCTAGGACTAGGAGTGGTGAAATTTTTCCAAATCAATTTGTACCAATCCACTTTACATATCCAAGTCCTAATTGGGACCAACCTAATACATGAAGGAAAATGATGACATTTTCCATTTCTACAAGTCTCTGTATAGAAATATTCACATTCACTTTTGCTTTCTCTATTAGAGTAGAGTCAGTTATAAGTAGTACCAAGTAATTTGTTATCCATTTATATATCTTATTAAAGTTATAGTTATAAATTAAGTATTTCTCATTTATCGTATTTATAGGATCATGGTCCTTACAAAGCTCTTGCTTTTATATAGGAGAGTGAAGAGCAATGAGATACGATTAACAAGACGATAAAAATCAATCAATGTATTTCTCTTACTTATATATGCTCATTGTCATTGGGCTTGATGTATCCCCTTTAAATCACCATATCCACATTCCAATCTTTTCCCCATGAATACCATACCAATATTTTGATAATACATCCATCCAACTCTTTTAAAAGTCCTGTGAATAACATGAGTAGACCAGACCCAATGTAAGAAAAAGATAAAATGGATATTAGAGAGATAGTTTAAGCAACGGGGAGGAGACATTTGAGTGAGTTAATTTGATGCAGTTGCCTTTAAATGAGATATTCGAGTTGAAATTACTAATAAATAGTAAAAAATGCATCATTCAGACCTGTGATAATTTCAATTGTTTTATTTTGTTGTAATTTGGATTGACATGAAGATGAGTCATAATTTGAATTGCCTCTTTGTTTTTTTTCTTCTTCTAAAAACAATTCATTAGTGGCAAAATGCCCCACTTTAGAAATATCAATTCCAAACACCATGCTAGAACCTTGTATAATAGAACACTCCCTTTGCAAACAAACTAATTTTTATTTTATTTTATTAACAAGCTAGTGTCTCTTAAGTCTTAATTACTAGTATCCTTGTAGCAAGGAAAAAATAAGCCGCAAACAAAATGATACACATCTTAGAATCGCTCAAAAGACAGTGTCTTTTAATGAATCTCTGACTTGAGACTGAGAGCATTACAAGGCTTCAAACATGAGCAAGTGATTACGTCAAATCCGTACTTTGGAATACGTCCAGAAACGGAATGTCCATACAATTTTAGGCATTGAACGTTGCAGACATTGACAAGGGAATGATAAGTCAGACCATATGTATCTAATTGCATGCTCGCGAACTTGCAGAGCTTTACATTTGAATTTGCTGCCACCTCGTTACCTATTTCATTATAAACAATCACGAAAAAAAGATAAATCATTTTAGTTAATTAAGACAAAACTACTAACATTCATATAAAGAAAAACAAACGATTAAATAAAATGTGCATTAACATGTATATTAATAACATAAAATCAATTGATATGAAACTACAAAAGATAGAGAATTACCTTGAATAAGACAGGTAATTAGGAGAACAAGGAAAAATATTGATTTCATGGCTAATTTCCACAGCTGTTTAGTGTGTGCGGGTTAGAAATTGGCAGTAATGTGATCTTCTGATTATAAAATCAATTTTACACACAAATAAATATATATGTATGAAAATTTGGTAACACTTCCATAATTTTCGTATATCCTAACTTCTCCACAGAAATATGTGGGGGGATAATTACAAGACCTTTCACAAACTAGTAACAAAAATGAAAAGATATTTATGACCATCGCAGTTCGTAACCATGGTCCATGAAACCGTGACGGATATCGTATCGAAAAAGTCAGCGGTATAATATTTTATGATAAAACCGTGGTTTAACCGTAGTTCCAATGCAGTCAAAAGCGCGATACTACCTAGAAGCGGTGAGTGACCTAGAAGCGTAAAATCGTAAGCTTTTAAGTTTTAAAGCGTAGATTTTGACTACATTTGTAAGGGAAAATCATGATTCTACATAGAAACGTTTTGGTGACCTAAAAAGGTAAAAGCGTAAGTTTTTAAGTTTTAAATAACGATTTTGACTGCATTGCGTAGTTCAACCGTTAGACCGTTAAATACCACCTACCGGTTTAGCCTCCAATACTGGTATTTCATGGTTGAACCGCCGATACGATACGGTTTCATGGACCATTTTCGCAACTCGTGGTTCTTTGACTTTAACAGCTTAAGCGCGATAATGCCTCGCATAAAATTTCTATATTCTCCAATAATTTTATTGTTTCCCTCAACCAATAAGTTTGCACTTCTGTAGTTTGGAATGAAGAATGTTTCAGTTTTCATGGCGAATATTAATCATTGAAAGTATGGTCTAAATATAAACTGTACATTCCATGTAGGCATGATATCCATTCTCCATGGATGTGTTGGGTATGATTCTCATCATCCATAATTGCTTTTCTAAATGTGATTCGATCTTTTAAGCTTATACACATACTATTTTGTTAATTGATATTTGATAGCATGAATAAAATTGAATTTTCAATTTATTAATTAGATTCTATTAGTCACATTCCACCTTAATATAATGCATCCAAAATATGTAATGACCAAAACCAATTCTTCTAAAATTTTGAATAGTGACATTTGGTGAAACAATCACATTGCTATAGCAACACATATTGTGATTCACAGAAATGTAGGAGTTCACGATCAACTTCATGTACAACGATATGTTGACACGACTTCTTGGTCAGTGGCGAAGCCAAGTTTTGAAGAGAGGAGGGGGTGAAAACAATAAGCTGCAAAAATTTTGTGGATCTAAATTTTGGATGAGGGTGACTAATATCCTTCATCCTTCCACTTTAATTATGATATTTTCTTATGATATGAATACACGCGTGATAATCTTGGATAAAGATTTGATGTGAGGACGTAGCTCTTCCTTGACTACGTACACGTAGCTCCACTACTTTTTTTTGCAACCATCAGTAAAGGTTCTTGCATCGGGAAGCAAAGTTCAGGAGCTAATTTGAGTGCATATGTGCATACATACTTGATTCTGGAAGTATAATATATACTCTAGTTTCAAATTAACTAGGCTAGTATTAATCATGAAAATTAAATTTTTTATCTTCTGGATTTTTTAATATGATAATATAATTTAGAATTACAACTAATTTACATATCTTCACTCGTAAATTTGTTTTTATGATGGTCATTTAATGAAATCTTGAAGCTGTATCGAACATGTTTTAGAAACACTCGAAATATAAAAAGATTGTAAATAACATTCATGTAAAGTCACACAATTTCTTTTTTCTAGATCTTTTTCTTGGCTCATCAACGATGGATACATCCATCTCTCTATAGACTAAACAAAAATTTATTGACCTTTTCTCTTTTCACAGGCTCGATCGATCCCTAACTTGTTTTCTACCCAAAAAAAAAAAGGCAAATTGTAATTAGCAACTACACCATTTGAGAGCTTGCTGGAATGCGCAGTAGTAAGTCATTAGAAAATCTCTCAATCAACTGGTGACACAAGCCTTGAAACAGGAGCACGTTATTTCGTCATACACAAAGTACTTGGAAATGCGTCCGAAAACAGGGGATTTGGGGAACTTTTGTAGGCACAACTCGTCGCATTTCTTGGGCAGGGTATCCCAAGTTCCCATTACGTTCTGGTATCGGGTATCTAAATGAACTTTTGCAAACTCACAGAGCTCTGCACGACACTCTTCTGGAACTGCTACCGCTTCCTTCCCTGTGTTTCGTTGCAAAAAACAATCACCAAAGCAACCGCAAAATCAATTTGTTAATAGTTAACATCAATTATTACATAATATGTGAATTCAAAGAATAAAAAGTTAGCGACGAAATAATATTACGCGACATCAAAATCTTGAACTATTAAAACGAGAGAGAGAGAAAATCACCGTGAATGAGACAAATCATTAGAAGAATAAAGACGAGAATCGATGAACTTTTCATGGTTGATTTTTCTGCGTTTGTTGAGTATGTGCATAGGGTTTTTGGTAGTGGGAAGTGATTTTTCTAACTTAAGCATCACTATTGATATAGGGAAATTTGGTAACTAAAATTCATATTTTACGGCGATCTAACTTCTTTAGAGCAAGAGGTGGAGTAAAAATTATTATTATTTAAAGATTCCATTCAAAAATTGACCTTGCCCACATGCATATTTTACTCTAACCATTTGAACTTGTAGTGTGTAACTCTCGTCTCTTTAAGTTTAATAGTTTGCGATGAATTTCGAGGTTAATGTTAACAAATAGTCAAATATTGTTGATAGATTTAACCAAATATTAAATTTATTCGAAGCACATACAAAAATGATGAGGAATTTAATATATTTTATCTATTTGTTAGTATCAATTCACATAATTGTCGCTCAAAAAAGTAAACATAAGGGACCAAGAGCTGCGGACTGCAATAATCATTGGGTTAAGGCTAATAATAATATTTGTGAATGGTCCTTTTTTAGTTTTTTTGTATGAATCAACGAAAGATTATTTTTAGCTCACCTATTGTTCCGGAGAAGATAAGATCTACGAAAATTAAGAAGGTTTTGTTGCCAAAATTTCCTATATATATGTGTGTAAAACTATGTACTAGTTCAAAAACCACCTCACTCAATAGCTAGCTAGCAACACAACGTTAAACAAAAGGTGGAAAAGCAACCATGAAGATGTCCACGATATTCATCTTTGTTCTCTTAACGATTTGTCTCGCTCATGGTAAATCGATTTAGATCTTGCGTTTCTCATGGTTTCATGTCAAATTTAGTTATTGATGTTGCTTAATATGTATTAATTATTTCATATAGTTGGTCTTGTTTCATCGAATTCATGGATTATGATGTATGTGGGTAATTATCTATGCAAACTAACCAAGTGATTTGCTTGTTTCTTGTGATTATATATTTGTGATCATGAAATAGGGAATAAGGTTGCAGCAGCAGCTGCTGAGTGTCGTGCGAAGATCTGCGAGTTTGATACCATTCAACTAAGTGGATACGATAGAAATGTCGGCGGCTGGGTTCCGAATCCCATGCGCAATATCTGCGACTGGGCATGCCAAAATAAGTTTGGAGATTCTGTTTTTGGGCGTGTTTCCAAGGGCTTTGTGCCTGAAGGAATATCTTGCACGTGCTTCAAGGCCTGTGTTATCCATTGAATTCAAAGGAAGGGTTCACTAGTTGTTGAAATGTTTTGAAGTTGATAAGCAATACACTAGCTATTCGTTTGCTTCATGAATTGAAAAATGAAGGTTTTGGTATAACTTGAGTTTTGTATAGTCATGGATATATATGAAGTTTTTCATTCACTCTATTTCCTTCCTTTTGCTTTCCTATTTCTGATCCTCTTTTGGATTTTCTCCTTCGATCTCTCTTCTAGAGATGCTTGTCTTCCAGCTCTGTTCTGATTCTTCAGATCTAGAGATCTTTTGTTCGTGGTGGCAAAGGGTGGCTGGTTTTGGTTCTTAAGATCAGCTTGTCTTCTCGTCTTCTCGCCTCTCGTCTACCTCCTTGCTTCGCCCTGCTGATCTCGGCGTTTCAGAGATGCTAGTAGCCTTTCCCTGTGGATCGGCTCGGACGCAGCGGGGAGATCAGAAGACAGAGACTCGATCTATGTGTTTTGTCGTCGGACGCCCATTCGTTCTGAAGATCGGCTCGTGCATCGTCTTCTGGGAGCATCTGAAGACGTTCTGGTCCGATGAGGTAAGGTTGGGAGGCGAGTATTGGTTCTGTTGTGCTCGTCTTGCTTCGTTCCGCATCTGGGGTGGTAAGCTTTTGCATTCCAGCCTCATTTCGCTTCCAGTGGAGTTGGTTCTCTCTATCTGGTGCTGGGTTGTGATGGTGGTCGGCGGATGATGTTGTTACCAGCGACGGCGGCTGCACATAGAAGATGGAATCGGCTAGGGTTGGGGTTTTGTCCTGGTGTGGGCTCTTTGTGGGTGTTTGTGGGCTAATGTGTTTTGGTCTTTGGACACTTATTTTTGGGCATGTGTGTTTGGGCTTTTCTCCTTCTTTGCTGGTTCTGTTTGTTGTCTTTCCTCTGGGTTTCTACCCACTTTGTACACTTCTCAGTTTTTTTTTTTTTATAAATGGATGCGGGGCATCCTAGCTTTCTCACTTCTCAGTTTTAATGAAACTGTCATTGTAAAAAAAAATGGACTTGAAAAATACGATTGTTTGTTTCATAGATTTTATGATCGAATTGGTTAATTAGATTTTTATGTATGAAGTGAAATTTACCTTTATTGCCCTTATTGGTATAGGAAGAGAAATGAAATAGGAGGGGTAGTTTGGTCTTAAATGACGAACTTCAAAGTTCATGATCAATTCACACCTAAAGATGTGAAACTTTCAAGTCTGTGGGATCCATGGATTTGGACTCTTAAAGTTTATGGGACCCAAAGATTTGTTACCCCTAAATATATGAAACAAACAATGGAATTTGGACAAAGTCCATGATGGATCTAAATCCATCACCAAATCCATCATTCTAATACCGAATATGTATTTAAAAATCACCCCATGAATTTGGCACAAATCCAAATATCGAATATAATTAATATTCAAACGAATGATTTGA